TAAAATGCTAGGTATTCTCCGTTCTTTTATATGGCGTGGAGCCATGGACCTTAACTGAACCATCACTGAAGAGACTCGAAGCATTTGAGATGTGGTGCTATAGACGCATGTTGAGGATTTCCTGGATAGACAGAGTTACCAACGAAGAAGTACTACATAGAATGCCTGGGCCATATAATGCGCAATGAACAACGATATGATCTACTTCGGACCATACTTCAAGGTAAAGTGCATGGGAAAGAGGTCCAGGATGAAGAAGAATATCCTGGCTGCATAACCTGCGAAAATGGTTTAACTTAACCACTACCGGACTTTTCAGGGCAGCAGTCAACAAAGTCAGAATAGCCATGTTAGTGTCCAATATCCGTAACGGATAGACACCATAAGAAGAAGAAGATACTATTAAATGTCAAATTGGAAAGTACAAAATGATCCTAAAAACACGAAAAAACAAATGGATTTCCCCAGAAAACAACGACTTGGAAGACGAAATAGAAGATGTAGAGCAAGCAAATTTTGGCATAACGAAGGGACTAAAAGAAACGGAAAGGGAGTACTGCACGACTATCTTGACCCATAAAGAAAAACTAAAGCCAAAACACCAAAGAGCTAATAGTTAAAAGAATACAGCTAACCGAAAAATACCACTCCAACTACACAATAATGATGAAATTGAATAAAAATATTCACCGATCAATCCGAAAAACGTAAGAGAAAACAATACAAGAGAAATCACTAAAATAATTCAAGAAAACAAAAATTTTAAAGTTGTGAGGCGAAATACAAACAGCATAGACAACAAAAATATCTACAAAATAAGAAAAAAAGATGGAAACATTACTACGGATAGAACCGAAATCCTTATGTTTGTCGAATCCCTTTATCGCGAAATGTATGAGAGCACTGACGAAAGGCCCTATTATTGTCTACCAATAAATTATATACTTAGTAGCTCCAGAGTTTTGTTGGCAACTGATGCTCAATTATATTGCTAATTAGATGGAATGATTTTAACACGTCTTTCATTTCAGTTCGATTTGGATTAGAAAATCGGTGTAGATGATTAGCGATATCTCCTGATCATTATATTCTTATTTTCTCAGTTAACTTTCTCGAAGACACATTTTTCTTCATAAATATTTGTCTTTTTAATTTGAATGTATTCAATATTTAGTCGATTTTCGCAAGTATCAAGGTTATATTTGAGACAAAAAGTTTTCTTGATTTATATTTAGGAATTATCGTTTTGTCTCCCATTTATCTGCATAGCTTAGGATCATATTTTCTTAATTTCTGCCAAGTGGGGCAGTGATTTATCTTGGATTTAATTGTCTATAATGTTTTTCAATAGACTCTTTGGTTTATAAAAAAATAAATTTATGTAAGTAAGTTTTTAGTAAATAGGTATATTAGTAGTTATACACGTAGCACACTTACCGCAGTTATTTTGCACTGGAACAGACTTCTAAAAGTAGATTTTGAAACGCCATTGGTTTGGTTACCGATCCCCTGATTTAATATTCACTTTTTCTTTTCATACTAACTTATTATGCTTGTTTGTTGCATGTACAGCGTGAAGGTTGTTATTACTAAAGAAATTAACAGACATTCTTAAGGTGAGTCTTTTGTTTTCTGTTTTGCTTTATACAACTGTTCTAGGTATTAGATATGCAACCATTTAAAATATGTATGTATAAGAGGATCGATAAGTAAAATTCAAAAGTTGATAAAAATAAAGTAGATCATTTAGGTGGTAAGTAGGAATAGTAGTTTTTAATCGTAATATCTGAAGTTTTAAGATATTTTACTGTGTTTGAGGATTCGTGTATTTTTTAGCAGAATAGTACACGATTTCCAATTGCAGTCATTGCAGACATACGTCTTTTGGTGGCCAAAAAGTGTAGACTTTTCTATTTGCCTTCTTTTTCGGTCGAAATATTGTAATAATATATTACTTCGGATTATTTATCGAATTATCGGTTACTAGATGCAAATACTTGTTCAATAATAAGACAAAACGTAAAAACATAACTTTAATCAAATAAAAGGCAGATATCAAGCACAGTTTTTTATTAATGTTTATGACATTCACCAAATTGTTAGATAGCCTATTTTGACGAAGTAAGTCTAAAATGTTTAATTTCAACTTTTTTTATAACCATCAACTTTGAGTTTTTTCGAAGTTAATTAATTTTCCTCAGTTGAAAAAACTGAGGGAAACCTGGCGTAATTCAGATGATCCTGAAGATGCTCTAGGAGCGAAAGTACTTGGGCAAGATTTAATACACATTTACATACATTTACACAACACGAGACAAAGGAAAAACAGTTTAAAATTTTTGTAAATTTGAAGAAGCTACATAGTGGGTGACAGCAGAAGAGAGAATTGCTCCTGGTCTTAACGGAAATGTTAAAGTGACATCTGACATATGACAACTTGGATGGGCAGTCAGAATCATGGTGATGTGATCTACACATTTAAAAATTGTATGAAACTGAACATTGACCAAAGAAGTAACTGGCACTGGTATAGGAAGTCAACTGATGAAATATGAAATTATGTAGATTAATTTATGTGGATTGCATAATTCATCTCACACTCAAACCTGTCAGTAATAATTTGGGTGTTAGTTTGGGGGCAACCGAAGAGGACATACAGTGTGAATGTAAGAACTACATTGTTTAGTCATACATTGTTTACAATGTAGACTAGTCTAGTAACTAGACTGCCCTTTATTTGATTAAAGTTCATTTATTCGAGCATTCAACTATATATCACTTTATAAAAATATAACACTGCTTTTTTTTAATTTTTACACAATATCGTCTATTTGAAACGTTTGTAATACTTCCTAACAGAATATTTATTGTTGTCATTTCGACCTACTATTTTTCAGTTAGTCTTAGTAAGGCAGCTTTCCTAATATCTGTTTGGCCGTTGAGAATGAAATTTGTATGTTTAAAATGATTGATTTCTGGTATTGATTTTCTTATTGTTCGGACTTCTAACGAAGATTGGCGATCACTTTAAACGCTTCCCTATCTTTTGCAAAGTAAAATATCTATTTAACACTGAAGTTAGTCCAATCTCTGATATCCCTCAGCCAAGATTTCTTCTTTCTTCCCTCTATTCTTCCTTGCATGATGACATGTAGAAGAGAGTATTTATCGTTTTGAAGTATGTGGCCCAGATACGATGTTCTTCTTATTTTAATTGTGATCATAAGCTTTCTGTCATGTCTAATTTGTCTTAATACTTCTTCGTTTGAGACTTGTATTTATGGATTGATTTAATTTTAAATTTACTCGAAATAATAGAAATCAATCGATTTCTTCTTCCTGTGATGTCTATTCGTTTCGAATAGACTCGACACTCCCTCTAAGTGGAAAATTTACTCATACCAGATACCTACTTTATCAAAAGGATTGAGCTCTGGTGTGACTCTTTCCGTCTTATCGAGCCCTTGGTGACTTATAGAGATGTTCATTTAGACCCAGCTTTTTGATGTTTTTTAGGAGGTTCTTCGGAATAACTTCAGTATTAGAAAGAATAATAGGTATTCTATATAGTATGTGCTACTGTTTGGACTGTGAGAATAGCTTGTATTTGTCATTCTCAAGAATACTCTCAGGAACGTATTGGTAATATGGGAGAAGGTTTGTTTGGAGTAGTCCCTGTTTGAAAGCTATCTTTTGATTAAGGATCTTTCCTGCTGAGCCTTGCCGTTCCGTATATTCAGTTGCAGCAAATACCTGTCAGCCTCCGGTAAGATATTGGATGGTTTCTTGGGCTTGTCTTGATCCTGAACGGCAAGTAATTAACCTTCTGTTTCAGGGAACATCTTTCTTGATGTGAACCAATAGTTCGACGCTGTGTTCTCGATATAGTCTTGACTAATTTCATTGGAATACCTCATATTGGGGAACTTCATAGGTTTACCCATCCAGATGCCCATTTTTTCGTTCTTAATTAGATGGGATATGCGCATTTCTGGTTTCGTCAGCTTGATCGGGGTTGTGTCATCTACTGCGCAAATCGCGCGATGTAGAATAGATGTCTCAGCCTGCATCTGAAAATAAGTTTTTAAATTAGTAATCTGTTTTTCTAATTGCTCACTTATATCCATAAGTCCTCGCCCTCCTAAATACCACGGTAATACCGTTCTTTCTACTGCACTTCGATGGTGTTTTTGTGCCTTTGTGACGTGTGTTCGGACTTTTTGCTGAAGAGTTTCTATGTCCGTTTTAGTCCATTTAATAAGACCAAATGAATAGCTAAGCGCGGAAAATGCGTAGGGGTTTAGTGCATTTAACAAATTTTTAAGAAATTATAAGACGATGAAATGAAATAAAAACTTGTATTTTGGAACAAATAACGAACACTGTCAAGGGTTGCAGTGAAGAACTTCTCAGAACTGATTTCTTTATATGTGAGTAATTTTAAATGGTTGCATAAACGTAGCTTGTAGCAAATATTGAAACTATTTACACTGTCTTGTAAAGAATATACTAAATTATGTTTGTTTCTAGTTTATAAATATTGTCATTTTTTCTTCACATGGCAGTAAATATATGCTTTAGCAAAGGTATTAGGTACTTATTGATGGGTTCAAATAGTTTTCTATAATTTGGATCGAAGATGATATAAATACACCATTATTAGGAGTGTTCGCAGTTTTATTAGCGTATATAAATATGTTTTCTATCATTTTTATAAATTGATAATATATAGACTGTTGTCTTTAGTAGAATAATACACAAATTGAATAAGTGTGTTATTATATTATGTTACTGGTGTTATTATATTTAATTAATATAGTTATGTTTATGGATTTATCGTGTATGTATCTGAGTAATTTTTTAAGTATCCTATCAATACACACTCTGCTATGTCTTCCAAATTTAAATGAACGTCGAAAAGTAGTTACAAGTCTTTACAAGATTTATATTTACCGTATGTTAAAATCAATATATCTAAATAACCTAAGATTTGTTTTTAGGTACAACCAGAGCTATGACTACCAATCTCATTCGAGCCCCCACCAGAGATACTATCAAGATAATTATTCCCAATTAGAAAGCCCTGAGAAAGTTAATTCCCTCGAACGAAACAAAAAAATCCTAAAATCTCAAATAAAGGACCTTGATACGGCGACATACGGTTCAACCAATACTTATGGACAGCAAGATTATAATTCATATTTGCCGACCTCTCCCAGGTTTTACCCGAAAGACACTTACACAAGCACTCCTAGTCATGTGAGAAGTTACGAACCTCAAAAAACAGATTCGTATTATCCACCCGTAGACACAAACACGAAGTATTACTCAGATGGATACTCGAGCTCTGAATATATGACCAACAGTTACAAAACCCCGGAAGGCTACAAAGTGAATACGTACAAATACGAAAGTTATCAAGCGCCTCCACAACAGACGTATTCTTCTAGCAGCGAAAAGTACTACACCAGTGCACCAGCTGTTATTTCTCCAAGAGACAAAAAGACCTTTGAAACCTTCAAAAACGGTTCAGATTCACAGTACTCAACTCAGTATGCAACGAACGTCGAGTATATTAACGAACCTCCAGTATTTCGAGACGACGATACATTAGAACAAAAAATGTTGAAAAAATCTATTACTCAACAAATCATCGAGAAGAAGACCGTATCCGTGACGAAGAGCAGTAAGGAAGAGTCATCTACAAAGAGTTTTAGATTTGAATGAGTTTTTAGCTAACGTACAAAGCATAAAAGGTAGGAGTTTTAGGTATCACACTTTTAAATGAACAAATTGATTATATTATATATTTAAATTTATATATTTTTAGCCAACAATAATTTCTGTTCATGTATAAATTTGTCCAAATTTCTATTTTCTTCTTAATAGGTCTTAAGATTCCTTCTGATTGTTTGTAGAAAAATCCTTAGATGTTCTTACTTTTAACAAAATTTCATTTCAAAAGTCTCACGAGCTCATCGGTGCTCATTTATCTGTGGTGCCTTATAATGTAGGTTAGATTCGCATTATACATATAAAATTAGAAAGTTCTGTAAGGTAGTCTCTCGGAAAACAGTATCAAACCACCGAATAGTAGCTAATTTATCTGGTACAGCTACTCAACATGTACTCGTTCGAAATCGACGTTAAACTGCGGATCTCACACATTATCTCTATTGAGCTGCTTGTATATAACAAACTCCTTTATTTGTTTTGTTTTTCGTCCATTATATCATAGATTTCTCACGCCATTTGTTCGCTTTTAATCGTGCTTCTGGAATTTCGCCTTTAGTAATATTATTTTAAATAATTTCCACATCTTATTGGTTTGACGTGGTTTCTTCATTTGTGTAGACATGAACATTTTTTATAACTTGTAATGTAGTTGATTGGTGATATTTTCTTTGATTATTTTTAGTTTTGGACGTGGATTTAAAGATATACATACAATACTATAATTTTGGAATGGATTAGCGATACTAAAGCGAGACAATACTAAATAAAAATGTTTTTATCTATACACAAAGACGATGCGTATTAGACAAGCAGCTCTATCTCGCTCAAATCGCAATCTAGTAATCACTCTGTCAGTGGAATATATGCTAAAAACACACATGCTATAATATAACTCTCCTGTTTATATTTAAAATGTGAAATTTGCAGAGCTATACATGAACAGATTTTTCTTTAACCTTTTCTTGCGTAACACGGGTATTTTAAATTCAATAGGAAGCCACTTCCTATCATTTGCTTGGTAATCATTTATAGTGTGATAATTTTCAGTGCACTGCCTTTTATTTATTGCAGTTTTTTGTGTTTTTATTAAATGTATATTGTTTTATATTTGTAAGTGTCCTTACTATGGTGCTAATATTTTTTGCTTGTCCCATTTACATACTTAACCAAAAATGTTTAGTTTTAAGTGCCAATAATAATGCGTAAGCTTTTAAGAAATGTTTATATTTTTAATTACTTGTACATTAAAATCGATATTGTATTTTAAACGAAACATCCGAAAGTGCCTATTTTATCGCTTTTTATTTGTAATTTAAGGTTTTAGGTTTTAGTATAAATAACAAGACTTAATAGTGCCTGATACTTATTAAATCATGCCTTATATAATTGTATACTTTTTACATATTTTATTAGGATTGTTTGATTAAATATTTAATATTGTCATTTAGTAATAATTGGATGAAATAAAACAATTTAACATTTTCTCTACTTTTATTTCTGTTATAAACTGAAACGGCCAAAAAAGGATTTTATGTGATAATAAGCCGGTCGTAACATAAGAACAATACGAAGGTCCCGTTGCTCATCATCGTCGAAAGTGGGTATGAATATGACTAATAGAAAAATAACAGTTTGACCAAAAAAAAAACAAGAAATACTGAATCCTACGAAATTGCAAAGATAAAAAGAGTTCCAATAAATATTCACCATAGAACTCAAACTGCGTTATATACTATATCAAATTCTTACATAAACCTAACTATTAAAATTAAAATCCTTGCCTATGTCAGACAAAAAAATTAAAATCATAAGGAAAGAATAAACTTTACAAAATGTAGTATTTATTACGGCTAAAAATGGGTGCAGGCAACAACAAACTAGTATTTAAATGAAGAAGTTAATATATCAGATGAAAATAGGCGACATTTCAAGAAAAGTAAATTAGTTATTATTTAAAAATCAACAATGAGTAATGAGGGGTATGAACCACAATTTTCCGTCCGAAAAAGGTTTTTCTTTTATAAATTAAACACGTACCTGATGGTTTTAATATATTAAACTTTGATCAAGTAAAAGGCAAATATCGAGCACAGTTTAATTAATTTAATCTTGCCCAAGTACTTTCGCTCCCTAGAGCATCTTCAGGGGCATTTCGTCAATTGTAGCCTATTAAACAAGAATAAAATTTTATAAAGATAAAATGGTACATCGCACTACACTACACAAGGACAAACACATTAAAATTATTAAAAATAGGCGAAGCTACATTGTGCCTTTTACTTGATCAAAGTTCATTTATTCGAGCATTCAACCTTATATCAATTAAATATATTAGTTGTTGTGGAGAACCATTTCCTCAGGTGTTTTAACCGTGATATCCTTCTCCCAATTTCTCGCTTTCCGAATACTTTGCCTTAAAGGATTATTTTCAGTAATCTGTATTTAGTGCCATTTCTCGTTATGTGTCCGAGATATTTTAACTTTCTCCTTTTAATCGTATACATCACTTCTCTTTCTTTCCCCATTCTTTGTAGTACAGTCTCGTTGGTTATCTTGTCCGTCCATGGTAGCCTCAGGATTTTTCTTTATAGCTACATCTCGAAAGCTTCAAGTTTTTTCTGCATTGCTTCAGTAAGTGTCCAGGATTCAACTCCGTAGTATAATATCGAGAAGATATAACATCGTAGGAGTCTTACTTTTATCTCCAGATTAAGGTTGTGGCTTTTAAAGAGTTTAGCTATGTTATTGAATGCACTCCTAACCTTCTCTATTCGGCATTTTACTTCTTGTGAGTGATCCCATTGTTCGTTTACTATTGTTCCATGATAGGTAAACTTTTTACTCGGTCCACTGATGTATTCTTGATAAGCAGTTGCACGTCTCTTAATTTTATTTTTGCTGATGACCATAAATTTATTGTTAATATGTTTACTTACTTGTAGTCCAAATCTTTCACTTACTTCATTTACTTTGTGTATTAGTTTCTGTAAACTGTCTGCAAAAATAACGGTGTCGTCTGCAAATAACGTTCTCCATTTAAAAGGATTCCATGTTCGCAATTTTTCAAAGCTTCACTAAATATTTCCTCTGAATACAGATTGAATAATATAGGGGAAAGTACATCCTTGTCTAACGCCTCGCAGAATCTGAATCGCTTCCGACGGTTCATCTCCAAGATTTGTTCTTATTATGGCTGATTGGTTCCAGTATAAATTTTGTATTATACGCTAGTCTTTATCATCTATTTGGGCTTTTGTTAGAACATCCATCATCTTTCGGTGTTGGAACTGTGTCAAATTCTTTTTGGTAGTCCACAAAGCAGGTTTATATATCTCAAGTCATATCTCTGCATCTTTGGAATCATACCTGTAGACTAAACAGTGCATATTTCGTACCTACGCCTTTCGTGAATCCAACTGTGTGTCTTTTATTCTCTCTTCGCATAGCGAATTATCTGCGATGTATAATTTTAAGAAAAAGTTTAAGTGTATGGCTCAATGACTTATTAGGCCGGTCGTCCTTTGGATGCGTTTTCGTCCGAATTGCGTTCGTCAGAAATCGGACGAAGAAGTGCGAAGCATCCCGTTTCATTGAAACCTATTGATGCTCGTACACTGCGTCCGAACTGCTTCGTACGAATTCGGACGAAAACATGCGAAGTGCGATCTATCCGAAACAAATGGGATTTTTCGCAGTTGTTATGACGAATTGATAGTCGATTTGTATTTGTAACAGAACGAGATGGATGTTGAAAAATTAATTACTTTAATTTATGAAAAAAAGCCTCTATGGGATATGACCGATAAATCATATCACATGAGAGATATACAAAGAAAATTGTGGCAAGAAGTGGCAGTTGAAATGAATACTAAGGGTAAGTTAAATCAAATTTAGGTGTCAGGTACCTATGATATATGTATTTGCAAACAAACAAAATATTTGTCTTTGTTGTTTATAATGTAGAAAAGGCATATATGGGTAAGGCTCATTGAAATCCAAAATGTATTTGAATATTTTATTGATTTTAAATTATGCATTATACAATTCTTGAGATGAAAAATAAGTTTTAAATTTATCCCTGATGTCATAAGCTGAACTGGTGCCTCTGTTTTCACCCAAGGTTCCAAATCTTCCCGTTCTTGAATGTGTTTGATGAGGGATTTGCTCGAATGTACATGCTACTTGTTGCTCTCCTTCTTTATCAATTATAATGTTATGCAAGAGGCATATGCATTTAATAAGTTTATCGGCAGATTCGGGATTTACTTCAATTGATTTTTGTAATAATCTCCATTTGCTACTCATAATTCCGAATGCACATTCAACAACTTGTCTTGCTCGAGACAAACGCTCATTAAAAATTATTTCTGAAGGTCCTAATTTTGATACTGGAAAAGGTCTCATTAAATAAGTTTTTAGTTGATAAGCTTCATCTCCCAAAAGAACATGAGGTACTTTAATATTTGTTCCCGGCAGTGCACAATGTCTTGTAACACCTAATCCTCCGTTTTCAAGCTTTTGGCAAAGATTTGAATGCGAAAAAATACCACCATCACTTTCTTTACCGTACGCTCCCACATCAATTGCTATAAATTTGTAGTTTGGTCCAGCCACAGCTTGTAAAACAATTGAGAAGTATTGCTTGTAGTTTCGATACATACTTCCAGAGTGCTTTGGATTCTGTATGCGTATGTGTTTCCCATCTATGCATCCAACACAGTTTGGAAATTTCCACTTATTCCAAAATCCTTCAGATATAGATTCCATGTCTTCATTTTTCGGAAATGGCATATGTACAGTACCCAACTTGTCCCAAATTGCATCACACGTTTCGTGAACAATTCTACCCACCGTGACATCTGATATTCGAAACGAATACCCCAATGTCTTAAACGAGGAGCCCGTTGCCAAATACCTGAAATGAAAAAAAAAAACGTGATTAATTTGTAACGATTTTTTTTGTTTCAGTTCATGAACTAAAAAATAAATGG